ATAGTCACCTGGGGCAAAAGCCAGATTGGTTAAGCAAGATGACTGATGGTGGCCTGGGCCTACTTGATCCACCCTGCCAGCCAGATGCCCAAGGCCATATGCATATGTGTGATGAAAATAGTTTTTGTGTATCCTGATTACAGAGAACTTGTAAGGCTGACTTCAGCCTACACTGATATGCTAAAAGGGAATTCAACATTTCCAGAAAGAAACAGGCCTTTTGTTTAAAGCCTATGTAGATTATGGCGGTTTAAATGGAAACAAAATTTCCAGAAAGAAACAGGCCTTTTGTTTTAAGCCTCTGTAGATTATGGGGTTTTACATGTCCCCCTACCCCTCACCCAGAACTAATAAGAGAACAGGAGATTTACCTGTGAGGGAAATATCTACGGTGGGGGCGGGGGGGGGGGAGGATTTTCATTTTGTTTTGTTTTGTCTTATATTTCCAGCAAGTTATTAGAAATTTAAAATTCTTGAAGGACTAGAAGTCTATGACCATCAGAGAAAATCCCTTTTCTAGGACTGAAAGTAAGGGCACCGGTGAACAGAAAGCATAGTATGCTTGTTGTGTTGACCACATGGATCCATTTTTTGAACAGAAATGAAGAGATGGGCTGAGTCTGGACCTGTTCCATTGGCACACATTGACTTGGTCCACAGAGACTAGAAATAAGAGAGAAGAGGAAAGACTGGCTGCTCTGAAATTTAGAGAGTTATGAGGATTCCTGAGCCTACCATCAGCTACATGGCCCAGGGGCTTAGGACTGAAAGAGAGAAGGGACCAGCTGGTCTGAACTGCAGGGAGATGTATATGGAATCCCAAGCTGGCAGCTGATACTCATGTGTCCTTGCTAGATGGCCAGACCCAACTAAATGGTGAGCTGGTGTAAATTGCTGCAAACTTGATTACTTGCCCTGCAATGGGCTTTACTTTTGGATGAAGCTGCTCAAAGTTCCATCCAGAATAAAGATTCTTCATATCAAAGAACATGCTTCTCTCCTCAGAGTAGAAGGTAGATTGTTGTTGTTAGGTGCAGTTGAGTCAGTACCAACTCACAGTGACCTTATGCATAACAAAATGAAACACTGCCAGAGCCTGCGCCAACCTCACAGTCATTGATATACTGCTGCTGCCACTGTGTCAATTCATCTCTTTTGGGGGTCTGTCTCTTTTTCTCTGACCCTCCACTTTACCAAGCATGATGTCCTTCTCCAGGGACTGGCCCCTCTTGATAATATGTCCAAAGTATGAGAGTTAAAGTCTGGCCATCCTGACTTTTAAGGAGCATTCTGGTTGTACTTCTTCCTACACAGATTTGTTTGTTCCTTTGTTGGTCCATGATATTTTTAATATTCTTCTCCAACACTGTAACTCAAATGCATCAATTCTTCTACAGTCTTCTTTATTCATTGTTCAACTTTTACATGCATTGGTTGGTTTGGTTGGTTATGTGCCACGGAGTCAGTTCCAATGAATAACAACCCTGCATAGGGTTCCTGGAGTTGTAAATCTTTATGGGAACAGAAAAACCTCATCTTTCTCCTATGGAAGATGGTAGTTTTGAACTACTGACCTTGAGGTCCAACTAATACCCACTACACTGAGGTATACCATGGCTTGGCTCAGGTGCACCTTAGTCCTCAAACTGACATCTTTGCTTTCTAACATGTTAAAGAGGTCTTGTACAGTAGATTTGATTGCTCGACTGCTGCTGCTATGAGTGTTGATGGTGATTTGAACAAAATAAATTCATTGACAACTTTAATCTTTCCTCCATTTATATGGGTGTTATTTATTGGTCCAGGGGTGAGGATTTTCGTTTTGTTTACATTGAGGTGTAGCTGTGGTCTTTGATCTTCATCAGTAAGTACTTCAAGTCCTCTTCCCTTTCAGTAAACAAGGTTGTATCATCTGCATATCACAGGTTGTTACTGAATCATCCCCCAATCCTGATGCCATGTTCTTCTTCATATGTTCTCAGTTTCTCGGATTGTTTGCTCAGCATACAGATTGAATTAGCATGGTGAAATACAACCCTGGTGTACATCTTTCCTGTTTTTAAACCAGTGTTCCCCTGTTTTGTTCTCATGAGCACAATTAAGTGTTCCAGAATGCTCATTCTCTGCAATGTTGTCCATAGCTTGTTATTATCCACACAATTGAAAGCCTTTGCATAGTCAATAAAGCACAAATAAGCATCTTTCTGATATTCTCTGCTTTCAGCCAATATCCTTCTGATGTCAGCAATAATATCCCTTGTTCCCATATCCTCATCTGAATGAATACAGCTTGAATCTCTGGCAGTTCCCTGTCAATATACTGCTGCAGCTGGTTCTGGATTTTCTCTAACAGAATTATACTTGCATACAATATTAATTATATTGTTTGATGAATTCTGCATTCTATTAAGTCACCTCTCTTTGAAATGGGCATAAATATAGCTCTCTTCCAATCAGTTGACTAGGTAGCTGTCTCCCAAATACCTTCCCATAGTGAGTGAGTGAGTGCCTCTAGTGCATCATCAATTGATTGAAAGATTTCAATTTGTATTCCATCAATTCCTGAAGCCTTGTTCTTTGCCAATGCCTTCAATGCATCTAGGAATTCTTCCTTCAGTATCATTGGCTCTTGATCATATGCTACCTCTTTAAATGGTTGAACATCAGCCATATCTTTCTAGTACAGTGACTCTGTGTATTCTTTCCATCTTATTTTGGTGCTTTCTGCATCATTTAAGACTTTGTCCATAGACTCCTTCAATATTTCAAGTCGAGGCTTGAGTTTTTTCTTCAGTTCCTTCAGCTTGAGAAATGCTGAGCGTTTTGTTGCCTTTTGGTTTTCCAACTCTAAATCTTTTCACATTTCATTATAGTATTTGACTTTGTCTACTCAAGCTGCCCTTTGAAACTTTCTATTCAGCTCTGAGCCTCGAAAACCCTGTCTAGGGTTGCTATGAGTTGGAACTGACTCCACGGCACAAAACAACAACATTCAGCTCTCTTACCTCTTCATTTCTTCTTTTTGCTTTACCATCTTTATGATGGAGAGCAAGTTTCAGAGTCTCTGCAGATATGCATTTTGGTCTTTTCCTTCTTTCTTTTCTAACAGGAAATTTAGAAACTGAATATCTAAAATGAGGGAAAACATAGGCATGAAGTGGATAACTTACAAGCTTTCATGGATATGCTTATGGTCAAAATGATATGGAGAAAGTTAATCCATCATGTATAAAGGAACAATGGCTAGACGAGCAAGCAGGCGGCCTGTGATGGAATGAAATATTTAATGTCTCTTCCAGCCATATTCTGGTGTCCTGGAGTGGCACTGTAGGATAAGCAATGGATCACAAGGTCAGTGGTTCAAACCCACCAGTAACTCCTCAGAAACTCTATACAGTGTCTCTATGAATCGGAACCAATTCAATGACACTTCACAACAACTAGCCACATTCTTAGCAAACTCCCACCAAACAACCTTTTTTGATGGGTCTGGGTAAGAGAAATCGAAGGAGCATGCTGATAGATTATATGATCCAGTTGTGAATGATTTTTAATAAGGCTAATTTGGAACGATCAATGTTGCCATTCTGCCGGGTACAAAATGAGTCATCTCAGAAGCAGGAGAGGGCTATCACTACCATCAAAAAGAAGTGCCAGGAATGGAACTTGTCCTTTGGTTCTTAAGACCCTTCAGCACTGAACCTCCTTAACACAGGGACAGAGAGTTGTTAAATACAAGGAATAACTGAAGAGTTGAAGAGGAGCAGTAGTAACAGAACCAAAAGAGTCAGCGCATGAGACAGAGTGGTGGACTTCCTGGTCCACAGAGCAAGTAAAGCTAAGCTCCTTTGGTCAGGAGGCTTGTTTGTGGAGTAGGGTGCCCCTAGGTACTTAATTGAGAAGCTAGGTTTACTGACTCATAGAGCTAGAGCTGAGTGCCTTTGGACTGAGACTTATTGTGGAATCTTTAGACATTTATCAGCAGCCCAAAATGAGCTTTGTAATATTATTGGTGCTGGTAAAGATCAGGCCAAGAGACTGAAGACCAGAGAGAGACTTGACTATGGTCACAGCTGAGCAGGACCACCCTGACTGGAAGAACTGTGCCCTGAACATTTTTTATTTTGAATTGTAACTTGTTGACTTCCCTAATAAACCCCATAATGATGACTATGGTGACTACGGTGTCTGAGTTCTGTGTGACCACTGAACCCAGCTGAATAGAGGGTTGGTAGGTGCAATTTTTTGCATAATCTTATTTCATATGAGTTATATTCCTTGCATTGTTCCTGTGTCATCATAAAGTCTCATCAAGTATTGTATGATTAAATAAATCACATATTTTGAAATGAGAATCCATTCATTCATATCAGATTAGAGAAAGAAAGAATACATTAAGAAAGAGTATCATTAATCTCACCAACTCCTTGAATTCCTTTAGAGTTTCATTCCAGTAGTCCTGAGAGTCAGTGAAGGACATTTCTGTTGAGGCATTGGAGTGGTTGGGTGGGGTTGTGTGGTTCACCATAGCCTGGATGACAATGCTCAGGGTGATTTTTTGGGTGCCAGTTGCAAAATTACAGAGCATCAAGATGAAGGCCAGACCATGTCGGTTAGAACAAAATCCTAAAATGATAAGGCAAAAGTATTACAGTCAGAATGTTCTTCTCCTACCTTCCCTAAGTCCAGATTGGGAGAAGACTGGTATCTGTGAATCAGAAACACAGGGAGTGCAGACCCTGCTCTGTCCATGTTTGGTGGATACACATTTCCCTGAGAGGTGAGGGAGGAGGTAGCATAAGCAGAAATTTAAGAATGTATGAAGTGAACCAGAGCAAGCATTTGGGCAGAGTAGGCTAAGGTTCAATAATGTTGTTCTTAGGGTCCTTGCGCTATTTCTAATTCATGATGACCCTATGCACAACAGAATAAAACACTGCCTAGTCCTGCATCAGACTCACAATGGTTCCTGCCATGTGTCAATCCACCTCCCTGGAGGTCTTCCTCTTTTTTGTTGATCCTCCACTTTACCAAGCATGATATGCTACTCCAAGGATTGGTTCCTCTTTTCTTTTTCTTTTTCTTTTTTTTTTTTAAAGTTTTTATTGTGAATTGAGTATGAGTGATAGTTTACATGGGAGAACACCAGTTTTACACGCATCGTTTAATTGCAATGATTACAATCCCCTCCATGCATCATCATTCAACAGTGTTTGCTTCTATTCCCTCTGTTTCTTGTTTTGTTTTGATAGTCATTTAAACAACCAAAGGGTACGTTCTGCAAGCCTGCCTCCTGGCTTCCAGCACACAGCCTTTCTTTTCCCACGAGTCTAGAGTCCTCAGCTGCTCTCTCCATGTAATCATCTCTGCTTCAGTCTCTGGTGTCAATGCTACACTGGATAGGATCCCACATTCCACTCATGCTCTTCTCCCTTGATGGTCCTAGGGTCCTCTCTTTCTGTAATGTACGATTAACAACACCCCCTTTTATGTTACAAAACTTCTACCTTTACAGTTGTAACAATCACAATTAGTTATGATAGCAACTCATATTAAGTCATAAGAACCTTAAAGGATTTGTGCCTCTTGACATGTTCAGAAAACAAGAGAGAAAGTCTCACCATCCTTGATTCTAAGGAGCATTTTGGTTGTACTTTTTCTAACTCAGATTTGTTTGTTCTTCTTGAAGTCCATCTTCAAATATTCTTCTCCAACACCATAATTCAAATGCATCAATTCTTCTACAGTTTTCCTTATTTCATTGTCCAACTATCACATACAATATGAGGCAACTGAAAATACCATGGCTTGGGTCAGGAACACCTTAGTCCTCACACAGACATCTTTAGTCTGTTGTTGTTGTTAAGTGCCATTAAGTCGGTTCAGATTCACAGCGACCCAGTATAGGGTTCCTGAGGAATGACTGGTGAGTTTGAACTGTCAACCTTGCTGTTTAAACTGACCTTGCATTTCTGCACTTATCCTACAACACCACACCAGAAGTCTGAAAAGGTCTTTTGCAACAGGTTTTCCTAATGCAATACATCGTTTTATTTCTTGACTTATGGATCCAAGAAAAATAAAGTTGTTGACAACTTCAAACTTTTCTCCATTTATCATGATGTTATTTATAGACCCAGTTGTGAGGATTTTTGTATTCTTTACATTGAGGTCCAATCCATACTGAAGACTGTGGTCTTTAAACTTCATCAATATTTCAAGTCTTCTTTGATTCTAGCAAACAAGGTTGTGTCATCTGCATATAGCAAGTTGTTAATGAGTCTTTCTACAATCCGGTGCCACATCCTTCTTCATATAACCCACCATCTCGTACTATTACCTCAGAAAACAGATTGAAAAGATACAACTTTGGCACACATTTTTCCTGATTTTAAACCATTCGGTATCCCCTTATTCTGCTTAAATGACTACCTCTTAGTCTATGTACAGTTTCCTTATGAGCATAATTCAGTGTTTTAGAATAACTT